TCTGCCTGATGTGTTCAATGCAAAATAATCATGAAGTATCTCGTAGATATTTTTCATGCTAGTCTTTAGTTATTTAGCTTAAACTATTAATAGTAGTGTTCATATTCAATTAATTTGAGTTTTCATAGTCCAACACAAAATATTTTAACTAGGGGCCCTTATATAATACTATTCTGATTTCTTAGTTTTTTCAGAATGTTGGAAGGAAATCTACCTGGTTTATTGTTTTGGTTGTTATACTTTTTCTCTTTCTCTTGTATACAAGTCATTAGATTTCTTCTTACTCACATCTAGATATAAGTTTTTGTTTGACATTCTTTTCTGTTTTCCATTAGTGAAATTGTATTCTGTGCCTAAAACAATCCTCTGAATCCACCAGAGTAGCACTAGTACTAGTTGTTTCCCAAATTATGCCATGGCTTCCTATGCCATATTCCTAATACCATTCCTTTAGTAATACTACTCCATTATTCCGAACCCTGATTAACTGGATTCTTTTACCCTTTAGTTAATCTACTGTTTTCGTTTTCAAGGGGATATGTGATGGTGCTGCAGCTGTTATCATAGCTAGTGAAGATGCTGTTAAAAAACATAACTTCACACCACTGGCAAGAATTGTGGGCTACCATGTGTCTGGATGTGATCCCTCTATCATGGGTATTGGTAAGTGTGTAGTGAAACCAACGGGTTCTATTATATTTCTGGAGATAAGTCTACTTTGGCATTCAGAGTCCTGAAAAAGTAGCCAAATCAAGGTCACTTGTGGAGAAAAATGTAAGCTTGGTAATCAGTCATTTATACAAATAATCTGTGTGAAGAACTGTCCTTGATTAGGAAAACCAAGACGGTGCAGACTCCTTGTGAGCAGTAATCACATCTAATTGTCCATTTGAGATATTTAAAAATTAACACACAGAAAATAACAGAGAAGAATTACATTATCCTTACAAGATAAAAGAAATTATGAGATGGGAGAATTCACGGGGTGAAATAGAGTAGGCTGTATGGAGAAAGCGTAAACCCAGCTCCCTGCTGGGTGTTTTACACACAGTCACTAACATACCTCATTCCGTCTTCCTACAACTCCAGTAATTGAGACTTCTTTGTGAACGAGAAAATTGAGGCTTAGGAAAGCTGTCGTGAAAGGTTCCAAACCAGTTAGTGATGGAGCCAGGATGTGAATCCAGGTCTCTAATTCAAGTGATGTTTTCACTGTGAGTTAAATGTATTGTCTCAGGAAGTCAAAGTCATATTCCTTTGGCTCAGCTGAGGCTTATTAGCAAAATAAAGAATTATAAGCAATTATCTAGATTGGCAAAGTACTAGGTAAAGAAAATTTGGACCTCCCTACAAACATGTGTAGTCTTGGCTTGAAAAATATGAATTAGAACCAAGAGCTTTTCACTGGATGCACTCCTAGGAACCACAAATGATGCTGAATTTGAATAGTTCCTATCATTAATCTTTGGGGAAACAGGGAACCAATTAGGTGTCTTACTTACAGAAATAAAATTGGTGCTCAGAGGCTTTGATCTATCCCACCTATAACCTCACACCCTAGGAAAAAGCCTGCCCTAGGGTATTGGTGTCAGATTATTTATAGGACCAAAGATTTTTCTATCAGCTTAGGGCTTTTTTGACTAAATTGTTTTTTGAGGTGGGTCCCAAGGTAGAAGGAAGATAACCTGTTGCTGACCTACCATCTCAGAGATTCTTCAGGTCCTGCAGGTTCTACTCGAATAATGGCACTTACATTGATTTGGGGTTAATGCTCAGCCACGTTTGCTGCCATGTCCTTCAGAGAAGACTTAACTTGTGTACAGAATTCCTAAGAAAGCAAGCTGGCATGTTCATGCCTTGTCATCTTTCACTGTGTCTCAAATTTATGTAGGCAAGAACTGTTAGGTATTTAGATATCTGTTAAAAGTCTATTTTTTTCCATT